TAAACAGAAGGATGACTACAAAACTCCTTCTATGATGTCAGTATTGCTCTAATACAGAAACTAAGAAAAGACACAACACAAGGGAAATGTGTAGTCTCACACCATAATAAACATAAACTCAAAATCTCAATGAAATACTCCCAAACCGCAACAGACACACATCAAAAAGTTTATCCACCATGATCAAGTCATGTTTATTCCAGAGATGCAATGATGCTTTAACATATGGAAGACAATAAATGTAATAATCCACAGGAATGGACTTCAAGACAAAAATCACATTGTCATCTCTATAGATGCAGAAAACTTTTTTGACAAAATCTTACATGCATTCATGACTAACGTTATAGAGCAAACTGAAGTAGAGGGAACATACCTCAACACTGTTAAGTCTGTGTACAACGAACCCCCGGTCAACATCATTCTGAATAGAGGAAAACGTGGAGCATTCTCATTAAAATTAGAACCAGACAAGGCTGTCTATTATCCGCCCCCCCTTTTTCTAATATGGTACTTGAAACTCTAAATAGAGCAGTAAGACAAGGAAGGAAATAAAAGAGGTATTAGTTGGAAAAAAGAGGTTAAAACATCTCTATTTGAATATGACAATATTATATAAGACATTCTAAAAATAGTACCAGAAAACTTCTAAAAAATCAATCAACAAAAATAAGTAGCCTTCCTATCCACAAATAAGCAAGCAGGGAATAAGTTCCATTAACAAAAGCCTCAAAAAAATCTAGGGATATCTAAACAAAGATGTCAAAGATCTATTCAGTGGACACTTCTTTAGAGAAAGACAGAAGGAGTGAAAAGTCTTCCCGGGCTCATATATTCGTAGAATCAATATACTGAAAATGATCATCTTACTTAAACAAGTACAGATTCAATGCAATCTTCATGAAAAACCCTGTGGCATTGTTCACAGGAACAGAAAAATTTATCCTAAATTCATATGGAATCACAGAACACCCTGGATAGCCAAAGCAATCTTCAGCACAAAAAGGAATTACAGGAGCTTACCCATACCAGAAGTCAATCTATATCACAGAGCTATAGTCATGCAAACAACATGGTATTGGCACAAAATCATATTTGTAGCTCAGTGGAACAAAACAGATGACCCAAATATGAGATCATGCTCTTACAGCCACCTGACATTTAACAAAGGTGCCAAGAACACACACTGGAGGAAAATCAGCATCTTCCTCAAATGGTGCTGGCAAAAATGAATCTCCACCTGTTGAAGAATGAAACTGGACTTTTATCTTTCACCCTGCACAAAAGCCAACTCCAAATTGATCAAAGACCTGAATGTGAAACTTGAAACTCTGAAAATGTTATAAGGAAACATAGTCAGTACCCTATAAGATATGGGTAAGGGAAAGAACTTTTTAATCAGACATTACTTGAACAGGAATTAAGATAAACAGCTGACAAATGGGACCTCATTAAACTAAAATGCTTCTTTATAACAAAGGAAACAGCCAATCAAATGAACAGAAAATCTATAGAGCTGGAGAAAATCTTCACTAGTTATTCAACTGACACAGAATTAATATACAGACTACAAAAAGGACTTGAAAAAAGAAGCAAGAAAAGAAATGACCCAATATAAAAAATGGGCCATGACTCTGAACAGAGCTCTCCAAAGAATGAATAAAAACTGCTAAGGAAGATCTTAATGTGGTCAATATTGTTAGTAAATGGGGGAAATGCAAATCTAAGCCATTTTAAGATTTGTCCTGACCCCTGTCAAAATGGCCAAGAATAAGAGAATCAATGACACCAAATGCTGACATGGATGCTGGGAAATGGGAACCCTCACGCACTGTTGCTGATATGGCAAATTGGTACAACCACTGTGTAAATCAGTACGGAAAAGCCTTAAAAAACTAAAACCAAATCTACCATAAAATCCGGTCATACCACTCTTCGGCATATGCTCAATAGATTCGTCCTGCTACAGAGATTCTTGCTGCCCTTTTCACAATACCCAAGAAATAGAAGCAACCTTAATGTCCCTCAGCTGGTGAATGGATAATGAAAATGTGTTGCATTTACACAGTAGAGTGCTACTTAGCAGTAAAGAAAAACTAAATCATAAAATTTGAGGGTAAATGAATGGAAATAGAAAATGTTATACTAAGTGAACTAACAGAGACTCAGAAAAACAAGCAGTATATGTTCTCTCTCATTTGTGGATCTTAGCTTCAAATCCCTAGATGTGAGCATATATTGGGGAGAGTAGGAGACAGGTGTTATTAAGGAGGATGGGGAAAAAGGTAGGATACTTTAACTGGGGAGGAAGTAAGAAGAATTCCATAGGGTGAGTGGGAGGAGAGATGTTATACTTAAAGTGTTCTGAAAAGTCAGTGAGAAGAAGTGTATTAGTTTAAAGTGCTACTGAAAAATAAACATACAGTACATACATAGTATGGGAGTGCATGCACATTAGTGAAGGCTACATAACAAAACACACACTGCCAGGGAGGGTGATTCTCCCTTTAAGTTATTTGTTAGAGCAGTACAAAAGACTCTAAAATAACACAGGTCATTGCCACAGCCCTTGATTGCTTCGCAGGACTTGAAGGTAAGTTCTTATTTCTGAATATAGGCTGTAAATTGTACACGGGATTGGGAGAAATCGAGCAGGAACTGACCTGGAAGCCTCCTCCCTGAAGACTGGCTCTCATGGTTTCAGAGGATCCTGAGGAACCTGCCAATGGAGAAAACCAATCAATTGTTCTATTGGTTGTAAAGCCCAATAAACAACGACTGGCCTAGAAAATTATTACTTTTGGTGCACTAGTGAAACTTTTATCTTGGAGGTAATCAATAGCTGTCTAAGGCCTGCTCAGTAGGAGGGAACTCCTATTTGGTATTGTAAGCATAACAAAATATACCTTGCTGGAATGGTCACAGATCCTAGAGAAAAACCTACTTTTGCTACATTCCTGGAACAATGTAACTTCTTTCTTTATTCTAAACATGAATCCTCATATTCACAGAGAAGTGTACCTTTCACCCTTCATCAAAGAAGTTTCTTTTTTCAACAAATGGTGACTATTACAGAGTTCCAGAACTGGCCAAATGTAGAGAATAAATGTCTGTGAGATTCTTAAACCTAACTGATACATCTTCAATGCAACCTCGACACATAGGGTGAATGCATCTAACAAATCTCACCAGAGATGTTTCCACGTACAGCAGATGATGATGAACACAGAAACCCACAATTGTCCAACGTGCAGAGAACAAGAGGCCCCAGAGTGCTTATCCCTGATTAGGACAGCTGTTTCAAAGACCTCCCTTCCAAGGCTCAGGCAGAGCTGCAGAAGAGGAGGCAGGAAGATTGTAGGAGCCAAAGGTGTGGGTGACACAAGGAAACACAGTCTTTCAGACCCCTGATCAGTTACACACAGGAACTTACAGCAATGATGGCAGTATGCACAAGTCCTATGTAAGTTCAAACAAGACCACATTGCAGCATAGACAGGGAGAACTGGGTAAAAAATCCAATCCAACCTAAGGAAAATTTGGAAATTGATGTCTGCTGGGAGGGTAAAGATAGTGTCTTACAGGCATGCGACTCTTGGTGGACCCTGTGAATGGATCTTTCATTTGGGGATACGAATCAGGCTCTGTAGGCCAACATAAACACACACACACACACACACACACACACACACACGCACACACACCCACA